TGGCAGCCGGGCAGCGCGCACCTTGGCGGATACCTTGGCGCACAGGTAAGGCGCGCTGGGCCGGCGGGGAACTGGGGGGGGGTGTCTAGGAAGTGGGGTGCACGCAGGGCGAATCTCCGGTGGGCGGGAGGGAAGTCGGGGTCCCCCGCTGGACCTGGACCCTCAGGGAGGGAGGAGGGCGGAGCAGCTGCCAGCCCCGGAGGGAGGGACGCGGGGAGGGGACGGGAGACGTCGTGAATCGGACAGACGGCGGGGGGGGGCCGGGGAGGGGCGCCCGACCCACCCCACCCAGCCTTCCTGAGACCCCCTTTCCCCGGGTGGGTGGGGGGCGTCGCTCCTCTCCAGGCTCTGACTCCCCAGGGCTTGGGGGGGTCCCAGAAAGCAGAGGATGTCCAGACTTCCTGCAGACACCCCCCCCCCGCCTGGCTGGTCCCTAATGGGTCCTCCTAGGAGAGTGGGTGATCGGCTGCCGCCCCTGCCCCACCCACCACGGTCTCCCCGCAGCCTCTCCCAGGCTGTGCAAAGAAAGGGGGGCCCTGGGGGTGCCCAGAGCACCAGAGACCCCCCAGATCCTCTGCCAGACCTTTTCTGTTACTATTGTTCATTTGTTTCCTTGATGCCTTTACTGGGGCTTGAACCCCGGGCCTGGGCGCTGTCCCTGAGCCCTTTCACTCCAGGCTGGCGCTCTACCACTTGAGCCACAGCTCCAGGCCTGCTTTTTTACATTTCATTTTTCGGGGTTCCTTGGAGATAAGAGGCTCAGCGGACTTCCCTGCCCGGGCTGGCTTTGAACCCGTCTGTGATTCCTCAGACCTCAGTCTCCCGAGAAGCCGGGGTGACAGACGTGATCATGGCTTTCCCGGGGGCCCCCCATTCCTTCCTCCTCTCTCTCGCAGCCTCTCTCCCCTGGACGTGGGCGCTATGAGCCTGTGGAGGTGACCGGGAGGAAGGCGATGCAGACCTGGGCTTCTCCCGAGGAGGAGGGGCCTCTCCGGGGCCTGGTGGCTTCCCGAATTGAGGCTTACGGGGGTCGACACCGCGCCTCGGGCCCGCGGCCTCCCAGAGGCGGAGGCTCGGAGCCGGTGAGTCCCGGCCGGTGCCCGGGCCGTGACCCGGGCGGGGCAGCAGGGAGGACTCCCGGCTTTGAAGTCTCGGCCTCCTTCGAGGTTCAAAGACTCGCTCTATTCTTATCCCTCCGCGGGGGAGAAGAGGGCGAGCCCACACCCGCGCAGGTCCCCACAGCTGGGCCGGGGAGGGAGGGAGACCCGCGGAGGAGCAGATGGACGGATCGCAGGGTCATCCGCTGTGGGACAGGAGCCTTCTAGACGCCACCTGGCCTTTGCCTCGGCTGAGTCAGGGCTGAGGCAGCGGAGGAAGAGGGCAGCGGGGACCGGCCCAGGCCCCGCCCCGGGACACGCCCT